GCCCCCCGCTCGCGACGGCCCTGATGACGACAGCGAAATACCAAACATTTCTTTATTTGATGATTGATAAATTTCTTGCAAATATATTTCATTTTTGCTCGCATTTTTGCAAGGTTTTGTAAATTTCAAGAAAGAAATGGCGAAAGAATCGGCTAAAAGAAGGTAGCCGACGTTAACGAAGGTAAGTTTGTTTTAAATATTGATTTTATAATTGCTTTAAAACCCGACGGCCTTTGCGTATTTGAAACAACTAAACAAGACAGCATATCGGGCCCCATTTCAGTGTATCTTTTATATTGATTCCCTTTTTTATTATATTGATTTTTTTTAAATAAAAAAGAAAGCAAAGTTATTTGCATGCGAGAATTTGAAATCCTTTTATTGCAAACACAAAGTTTATCGATAAAGCCATTTAATTAAAGAATATAAAAGGCAGTTTAGTTTTATAAAGAACACTTTAAAACGTTTTGCGAAGCGTTTGTGGTTGAATTTTACCTTAAATTGAAGCTTATATTACGTTTATAATATAAGTGTGATATAACAGACGATTTGATTGGCTGATGCGCGTGCATTGTGATGCAATAACGCACTGTGATCTATGGCACTGCTTTGCTCTTTCTCTGTTCTTTTCCCCTCTTCATCACTGCTTTTTAGCCAAAATTATACACAAAATTATAGAGCTTTTAAAATACAAAATTTACCAGAAAGCAAGAAGGAATAGACCAAAGGAACAAAGCAATTTTCTATAATTCTACTTATAAAATTAACCGGCTCGGCATTCGTCGAATTTGTTGTTGTCTCGACAAGTTTTGGGTAAAAATGCGTACAAAATAGTCGAGAAAAAAACTTGAAAAAGATACAGCTGGAAGACCAAATACATACAAAAAGGCAACAAAAACTGAATATAAGTTTAGAAAGTACCTTCAATTCTTCTGATAATAACTACTAGATATATTTTCGGCGAAAGACAAAAAATACAAATAATTTCGAAAATTAAAACTGAGTAAATAAACACGACGAAACCTACGATTTACAGTCTTTCATGGCAAATCCAGCAGCCCAGATGCTGAAACACTTTGGAAAATTAGGCTGTGTGTCACTGCTTTTTTATTTCCACTATTTTAAACAATTTGTCCGGCTTTATAGCATCAAAAATTTGTATATTGTTTTGGCAATTTTTCTCCTTTGCTCGCTTAAAAATTCAAGCGAAAGTAAAAGCATGCGCGTGACGTCACTGAGTACATGTTAGGAGAATTTCAACGTCGATCTTTTGAGTAAAATTGTTTACTATGTAATATTTTCTACTTATATTATAAAAGAAATAGAAAAACTCGTCTCGTGCGTTTATGGTGTGATAATGCACTTGGGGAATGTTGGGGGAATACTCGAGAAGCGTGTAAAACACTAGGCTACGACTCGTGTTTTACACGCTTCTCTCGTATTCTCCCAACATTCCCCGCGTGCATTATCACACCATAAACGCACGCGACTCGTTTTCTATTTCTTAAATAATATAATACCTAACATATATATGTAGGGAAATTGATAATTTTGTAATTAAAAGTGATATTTTTAAGCGATTTTTCCTTTGTAAGAATATTCTTAAGAAATTATCGTGTTACCATGACAACTACTTTAGATACTTCATGTTCGGAAAATACAATGGTTTTGTCAGCAAGGCGAGGGTTTCTGCATGCATGTATTTTCTAGTATAGAACTGTCTGTGCCAGCGTAGGTATAGCTAGTGCCAATAATAACAAGCTTTCGTAGGAGAATTTCGACGTTTCAAACGAAGGGCTTTCGCTCGAAACGTCGAAATTCTCCTTATAATTTTCAGGCAGTTGCATCCCTACCAACGAAAGCTTGTTAACAATACAATATGTTAATTAACCAACTTATTTTATTATGTGTTATTTTCTGCACGTTTATATAGTTTACAGATACAATAAATATTACTAATGTTAAATGTCATCCGTATGTAAGCCCCCCCCCCCGTATATAATCCCTCTCATGTAGGGACAGGGGGCCACCCCTCCCCCAACATTTTTTAAAGGGGAAATAGCTTTCTCCCCCCAAACTTGAAGTATTTGAAACGGCATATATCATATTAATAATGTATCTGCAATTGTTTATTGTTATTTTAATAAGAACATTTTTACGAGTATATAAGTATGACATATAAGTGCGAGTTCGATTACATTGACCATCGGCAAATTATTTGTAATACTAAAGATGCTGTAATGTCCATAATGTTAACAAACGCTTTGTTAACATTTTGAACTGCTATATTTGTAAAATATGATATACTAATTATAACTGAATATCTGACACTTTTCTGATTCGCGATGCTTGTAAATGAATATAAACTAGACGTTTCAATTCAAAAAAGATGCAAAATTTGGACAATGTATATCGGGGGTCTTCCTTTGTTATGAGAAGAACTGATGCACAGAACAGACTTTACAGCATCTTTAATCATCCATCCTGGCTCACGGATAGCTTTCAAATTATAATAACAGAAATTGAAAGGGCTTAACGAAAGTGGGAGAGAAGACACTGAA